GTGAAATATCTTTAACTGATACCATAGCAGCGGATATTATTTCACAGCATTGTAAGAATTATCGTGACATGCCAATTTCGTTTCCACCGTTAACTATCGTGGATAGAAATACGAATAGCATGATCCTCAATCCTATGAACAAAATAAGAATACGATTTTTGCTTTATCCTCAACATAGTGAGTTGTTTATTTTAGCAGAGCCTAAATCTAATGAATTGGATCCCATAAATGAGATTAAGAAGTTATTCCAACTTCATTATTCATTGTTCTTCTCTCATTCTTCAAAATTGAAGAAAATTATTTTAAGCGAGTACAATAAAGAGATCGATAGTTCTATTGAGGAAAATGATTTCGTTAGGTTTATGTTTGTTATAGATAAATGGAACCGCTTAATGGTTGAATTAACACCCAATGATGTTGATATAGGTTCACATGATATTAATGAAGAAATTAGGGCTTATTTTCTACCTAATGAGATTAAAATACCGTCAGATGAAGACATTCGATTGGATATTTTCTTTTCGGAAATCCAGCAATCCACTGAAGAGAACCCAATATCTGATAATGATCCTATCGAACCATCAAGCCCTTCATTCGATTTAATAAAATCTATGAGGCGTTGTTTCACACATGATTCACCAAGCCGCCTTACGCCTCCTATATCTTCAGAGGAGGATAATAAGGAAAATGAACCACCAATAGAAAAGGATCTTAGAAATAATCATAATAAAGTTTCTATGCCTTGTACCCCGGTCAAGCTTCATACTAGAAATAAGATGGTTGTCAATGCCGTGAAGCCTGAAAATTACGAACTGAACTTCTTTCGTCATCTCAAAGAAAAGACTAGTGTATCTAGGTTTTGCGTACAACAAATTCTCTTGCGTATATATTCGAGGATTGTATCAACAGAATCAAGGAAGCTTAGGTCCTATAAAGCTTTTACAGCCGAGGTATACGGTGAATTATTGCCCTCGTTTACTAGTGAAGTCCTAACTAAAGTTAATTTACAACCCCAGCACAAATTCTACGATTTAGGTTCAGGAGTAGGAAATACCACTTTTCAAGCAGCGTTGGAATTCGGAGTACATCTTAGTGGTGGTTGTGAAATAATGGAACATGCTTCGAAATTGACTGAATTACAGACCATGTTACTTAATAAACATTTAGCGTTGTTGGGGCTAAAAGAGTTACCATTGAATTTTGCGCTCCTGCAAAGTTTTGTTGATAATGATATTGTTCGTCAAGCAGTAATTGAATGTGATGTACTTCTTGTCAATAACTATCTTTTTGATGTTAATTTGAATACTGCTGTAGGAAAAATGTTGTATGGTTTAAAGCCAGGCACAAAGATCATAAGTTTAAGAAATTTTATTAGACCACGATATAAGGCCTCATATGATAAAACAATATTTGATTATTTGAAAGTTGAAAGACATGAGATGAGTAACTATCTTTCTGTTAGTTGGACTGCAAATAAAGTACCATATTATATTTCTACAGTACAAGAAAATATTTGTGATGAATATGTTTAATACTATCATTACATTACGTATTTCTTGAAATAATCTTATAAAAATTCGTTAAAAGCAGTTAATATATATCTAGATTATAAACCGTCATATTTTTCTTTTCTTGATACCTAAATTTAAATTGTTAGAAGTGTTATCGCTAATTGTTGTAGGCTCGATAGAACCAGGGCGGCTACTAGCGTTCGAACTACCCTTAATTTTCTTTTTTATAGTAGACGGTCCTTCTAGTTCTCTCGTGATCGCCAATAATAACGTATTAACACGTCTTCCTAATTCCTGTGGTGTCCTAGACAACATATACCAATCAAACTTAAAGGAATCATTGATGGCTATCTCTTCCTTTATTTTTTCCAATAAGTTTTCACTAAATAGGCCATACTTGTGAACACAATTCAATATAAATCTATCTTCATGTTTAGAATAAACTCTCTTGGAATTATTCGGAGGGTATTGAATCTTTAATTCCTCCAATGGGTCTTTCAATGATTCCATCTTGATACTTAAAAGCTTCTGCTGGTTCAATAATTTGGCGATCTTTTTCTCGCTACTTTCAATTTGAGATACATATTTATCGTAACCCTCAATTAAGGAATAAGATTCCCAGAATTTTCTCAGATAACGCTCTACATCATCTTTATCTTTATTACCCATTGCCTTTGCGATACTTGAGTAATCATTTCTACCAAACTTTGAAGACCCGTGAATGAAATTTGTGAAATCTCGCCTAGTCCAACTATGGAAGCTTTCAGCTAATAGTTTATTCTTCAATTCTATCTCTTCTTCTGTCAATGGCACAACATTATTCACTTTCTCTTGTTCTAACCTTCTTCTTTCTTCTCTAGGTAATTCATTCTTAAATTCCTCTGCTAAGAATTCTTCGTCGCTGTCACCAAACTCATTTAACGCAAATCGGTAACCTATCTGTTTTTTATAAGCTAATTGCTCTCTGTCAAGTAGTTCCTTTAAGCCATTAGGAAAGAATTGATGGTCTTGAATATTATATATTTTAGGTGCTTTGAATTTTGACAGCAAATTATTATTTTTATTTGCAAGAGGTGTTGTTTTCAAAACATCTTTATAATAGTTATCAATAGAGTAAGTTAACTCTTTTCTCTCACGCTTTGGTGGATTGATCCAAGTAAATTCTAATTCTCCTTGGTTCTCCTTCTTGGCAAAATTTTGGCCATTCCATTCGTACGTTGAAGAATCGGATGTAAAATTTTGCAAGTCATCTAAACCTAAATTATTAAACTTGGCATTTAAATTTGCTGTCTTTTCGGCACCTTTTTGCAAGATAGCATCAATATCGTCATCTAACATTGTCGAACTTTGCTGGGACTCAAAGACCTTTTTAGCACCGTGTTGAATCATTCCTAATAAATCGTCCTTAGAACTACCAACAGAGTTATTTGCATTTATTTGTCTTCCTTGCTGAATAACTAATTGATCCAATCTCAATTTTTGTGCTGCTCTATCTAAGACTTTCTCTTCAATAGCATTTTCAGTGACAAATCTATAAACCTTGACCTGTTTCTTTTGACCAATTCTATGTGCCCTATCCATAGCTTGTAAGTCAGCCTGTGGGTTCCAGTCAGAGTCATACAATATAACTATATCAGCACTAGTCAAATTAATACCCAAACCACCTGCTCTAGTAGTTAATAGAAAAATAAACGTGTCCAGATCTGGCATATTATACTGGTCAATTGCCTCAATTCTATCTTCGTGGGAAGTGGAACCATCTATTCTACAATACGAATAATCCCTAAAATAGCAGTAATCTTCTAAAATGTCTAGTAATCTTGACATTTGTGAAAAGATTAAAACCCTTGAACCTTCCTTTTTAAACTTTTTTAGCATCTTATCCAATATAATCATTTTTCCAGCATTAAAAACCAAATGCTCGTCAGTTGTATATGGTGGGCCCGGTTCTGCGCCATCAAATAAATATGGATGATTACAACACTTTCTCAATTGCATTACAATATTTAATAATCTAGTTTTACCCTCTCTTTTACCAACAACTCCATTAACAGCATCAATATCTTTTTCTAACAACTTTTTGTACCATTTTATTTGCATATCTGCCATACCAATATAAATGTTAGTTTCAATTTTAGGTAATAATGATTTTTCAACATCTGCCTTGATCCTACGCAATAAAAATGGACTCAAAACTTTATGTAATTGTTGAATTACTTTGTCCTGATTTTTTTCTTTATCTTCGTCTGTTTTACCACCTTGGTTTTCAAACCATTCATTGAATACTTCCGAATCTCCAAATACGTCTGGCAACAAAAAATTTAGTAATGCCCATAACTCATGAAGGTTATTTTGAAGCGGCGTACCCGTTATTAATAATCTATTCTTAGAATAAAATAGCCTTAAAATCTGCGATAACGAACTGTCTTCATTCTTGATACGGTGTGCTTCATCGACCACAATATACTCCCATCTAAATTTCTTCAAGTGTGCTTTCTCGCGAATAACCATTTCGAACGAGGTTATTAGGACGTCAAATTCAGCATTTAATAGTTTATTCTGTATTACCTCACTACGGCCCTCCTTATTTCCTTGCAATACAATTACGTTAACATCAGGCGTCCACTTTGCAAATTCCCTTCTCCAGTTATCCAATGTTGATTTTGGCACAATTATAATGAACGGACCATCTATTTTCTTGATATATCTTAGATACCCTAAAAAGGCAATGGTCTGTAATGTTTTCCCTAATCCCATCTCGTCTGCTAGTATACCACTTAATCTATTTTCATAAAGGGATATCAACCAATTCAACCCCTGAATCTGATATTCCCTTAGTTTGCCTTCCTTGACAAAACTAGGAGATTCTGTTAATATTGTCCGTTGAGACTCCTCGTCATTCATATGTTCTTCATCCTCCAATAATTCTGCATCTTCCTCTTTTTCTGTCTTTCTTCTTTTCTTCTTCTTAGTTGTCGGTTCTTTAAACGAGACATTATTATCTATTTGCTTGATTATTTTCTTAAATTGTGTGTCCTTGGATGCATTCAAGTCTATGAAGTATCTGAAAAGATCAGTCAATCCCAATAAATATTTAAATCTCTTGGTCGAATCATCTACATCATTGAGCTTAGCAATTTTAGGGTCTGTGTCAAGTATAAATCGTTTTTTTCTTTGTTCCCTAGTTTCAGTATCACTGAAATGTTTTGATTTATCCTCTTTATCTGACATGTTGCAACCTTCCACTGGCAGAAATTCTATAATTTGTATCAGTGTTTGCAAATAACCTAGTAAAGCTTCGAAATAAAAGGGATAGTTATTAAACTATTAAACACGATGATTATGTGATATCTGGTAACTTGATTCAGGATTCAAAATATAAAACCCGAAAAACCTATTGAAAAGTATATACAAAAAAACTTATACCACTTACGCGTGCGGGTAATGCTTGCTTCTAATTGTTATATTGTGCCTTTAAACTAAATACTACTAAAGAACTACGTTACCATCTATTAAGCCCCAATCGATCTTACTGCTACCGTTTTCGTTCAACCATTCATTACAGTTTTTGAAAACTTTCAGATCAAAAAAGCCTCTTCGTGCAGATAATGGTGACGGATGAACTGTTTTTAACACTAGAAACTTATTTGAATTTAGTAAAGAATTGAAATTCATTATTCTTTTCTGGGCTGGAGTTCCCCATGCCATAATAACGAAACCATTTGATTGCTCTTTGTTATAATAATGAATTGCTGTTTTCAAAATTTCTTCTGTGAAAGTTTCCCATCCTTGTTGAGCGTGGCTATTTGCTTTATGACATTCAACTGTTAATACAGCATTCAATAAGAGCACACCTCGTTTGGCCCACTTGGTCAAATTACCTCCGCCGGGGTTACCTTGTTTGGCCAATACTTGATATTCAGGAATAATGAAATCGGGATAATCAATTTTCAAAGTCTTGTAGATATTCAATAAAGATGGAGGGGGTCTAGTTGGCTCTAAGACTGAGAACGCTAAACCATGCGCTTGGTTGAAATTATGATATGGATCTTGGCCCAATACGAGACATTTTATAGAAGGTAATGGGGTATAATGAGACCATGAATAGATTTGTTCCCTTGGAGGGAAGACAGTTTTGTCTGACTGTGATTTTAAAAACTGTTTTAATTTTAAAAAGTATGGTTTGGTTATTGTTTTGTGCAAAAATACTAACCATGTAATATGCAAATATTTAATCTCTAAGTCTAAGAGGTCTTTCTCTTCTGTAGTCAAAGAGTCAATCCATTCTTGTTTATTGAAATTATGTTCGGCACAGAACTCAGCGTATCTATCTTCGTCAGAAACATTTGAGTCATCTTTATCGACCTTGGTACTTACCGTACGTTTTTCATGTTTGCTTATAGTGTCACTCGATGCTGATATATTTATCGTATTTTCCTGAGCATTGGTAGTTTCAATTGACGTTAGTTTATTGATAGTTCCAGTGGTGATTTCATTTGACTTCCGTTGAAAAAAGTCAGTGATAAGCTTTGGCTTTTTCAGATCGGGTCTTTCATTTGATTCCGGCGAACGTTTAGCTGTAACTAGTCCATCTGACATTCTTAAAGCTAAAGAACTACAAGCAAAATCGATTGTTGATCTGAATTATATGTTCATTCCATCTTCACTTACGAACTGAAGTTACGCGTTTTGTGTTACAAATGAGGTTCGATCTATTTATGCTATCATATATGTCTAATATCAACTAAAATAATCTAGAGAAGTGATATGGGTAATAAGATTCCTTTCTTATAAATGCACTGGTTAAACAACTCGATAATACGTAAATTATTAATACATTGATCAAAATGCAAAGACTTTTTGTATGTTCACTTGGAATTGTGCTGGTAGAATTGACTTTGTAATGGCCTAGGTAGATTAGATTAATTAAGCTTGATGCCAATCCCAAGTAGTTAAGGCCAATTATAATAACCTCTATTCCAAATTGATATTGAAATATCCCATTAATGTAAACAATATTGTTATTGCCATCTTTGGCAATAAACGGAACCTTTTCCATTACTGTAAAATTGTAGCCACATGTAAATGCTATTATTGCCATAATGACAAGGGTTTTATAGATATTTTTCTTCGTAAGATTAGTGACAATCTTTGGCCCTCTTTTCTTAATTATCAAAATCAAAGAAAAAGTAAGCCCGAAAGCCAATACAAATTTTTCAAATGGTTGTTCTTGTCTGACACGAATCGTCTTATGTAGAGTCAGAGATATAAACTTTGTTAATTCTTTGACTTGCTTTTCGATTCCAGTCATTGGAAGTTTGAATATTAAATGAGGTTCGCCTAATATTTCATATCCATTGTCATCATTATAATTTATGTTGGATGTAGTCTTACTTGGAGGTATAAGCCATACATGAGGAATTGTATTTACTCCTAGGTAATTGAACAAATTAGCATTTGACTTATCAGCCAAATCAATATTAACAAAAAATAAAAAGTTTGATAAGGAATAATCAGCAAACCAAGATTCGGCTACTCTTCTAATAACACGATCCAAATTTTCACAAGTGCCACACCCGTTTTGCGGATCTGTGGATGTCAAAACCAACAACGTATAATAGTCCCTTTCTTCTGCTAAACCTGACAAGTCTGATTGAGATATTGGAATGACAAAATTGGGAGATTCCAAAGATCTTTTCGTCAAAGCTTGTGCATTGAATGAATCACTATAACCGATAGAGATGAAAGAGAATATCGCTATAAGCGATATAAAACCTCTGTATATCATTGTATTAGCTTAAGAAAGATCTGGTTTAGATAAAACATAACTTTTTTCTCTTTAAAAGACTAATATTACACAAAATTTCTCGGGTTTATTGATTTAAATACATATCTATACTTTACTGAATTTCTTCATGAGTTTCACGGTTAGTAACAAAGTCATCCTTCTCGTCTTTATTGATAACTAAAAACCCAACTGTCACAATAAAGGCACCAAACAAGTACCACCAGTTCACTGAGAACCCTTTAAGTATCCAATCACCGACCATGGCCAATGGAATCGTCATTGATAAACCGACAGTAACTGTTAATGGACTTGTCAACAATACTGCTTTACACCAACAGAAATCACTAATAAAAGTTATAAGCGCATTGGTTAATAGCAAGCTTATCGTCCTATTATTCGAGGGTAATTCGAACCTTTCAATGTCTGTAAAATGAAGAATAACTATGATAGGCCATAATAAAAAGGTGTTGAATATTCCAACAAATCCAAAAAATAGGTGAGTGTCTAAGTTTCTTTCTCTTGTTGAATTTTTGATCGTAATTTTGAATTTAAGCAAAATCGTGTAAATTCCGTATATCAATGCACCCAGTAAAGCAAGTAAGTTTCCCGCTAAAATAACCATGTTTGAATCAGATGGATTGTTCGAAGATGTATCTATTTTGGTAATAATCAAAACCCCTGTGAAACTCAAAAGGATGCCAACAATTTTATTCTGGTTAATTTTTTCTATGGAGTACAAAAACCCGATAATCAAGGTGAAAAACGACGACGTCGACGAAAGAATTGTCTGAGACGCCACCGAAGTATATGACAACGACGAATTCGTCACCAAATTGGCTGAAAACCAAAGCATTATGAATTGTAGTGATAACTTTACGCTCTCGTATAACCCAATATCATCATATTTTGCACTTTCTAATCTTGAAGTATACTCCGTCTCTAAATTTGTCAAGTCATCGTTCGACCCATAATCGATATTGGACTCCCCTGTATCCTCCATATCAAGCTTCATGTATCTCTTGCCGTAGTCAGCTTTCAATCTCCGGATAAACTCCGAGACACTGACATTATTATATTTCATGTACGGGATTAAATAGAAACTGAAACAAGCAGTGTTAAGATATGTGATGAAGAATGGCTTTCTATAAATATCTGTTTCAAATAAATCATTCACTAAAAAGGACGATAGCACCCAAAATATAACCACAGAAGACAAATTTATTAACCCAAGCACCCATTTTTGGCGGGAGGAAAGCAGTCTTTCAGGCGCCCTAAATGTCAGTAAATACTGATATATGACTTTCTTTAGTCGTTGAATTAAGGACATGTATTTACAAAATATATACTACCAGCTTTGTTGTCTCCGTAGTTACTATGATTCATTTTGTAGATACGTGAAAAACTTCTGCTTATGTAATTCTTATCAAACAAACACCCTTTTCGTTTAACTTATCAACAGTTGATCCTATCCTCGACGACTTAAATCATAGCTAGATATTCTATAGAGAGTGTTGCACTTATAAGCATATATCGTGTTATTTAGGCGGTGGTTAATATGCAATTTCCCGAGGAAGATACAGCGATCGATGAGACTTCATCTTTGGTTCGTAGTAGACGGCCCACACATTCTATATTAGATGCACCTTTAGGTTCGTTTAAAGGTCCAAATTCTTTACATAACTTTGCAAGCTCTTTCACAAGGGCACAGTCATTTGCTGCATCCAAAATTGATAATGATATTCGGAAGAAGAGATCTTTTTTTCATAATAATAACAATGATCAGCACGATTCGGTTGTTGAGGACGAACTATTCGATCCAGAATTGATGGTTCCGTCTGCAAGAGGTGAAAGGTTGAGTGTGGTTCTTCACGATGTTATACATAAGAACCTGATTCTTAGTGGGACAGACCTTAATGTTATCTCTTCTAACAACGATGTGTTTTATCAGGATGATATTATCAACGCGTTGAACCTGAGTAAGTCAAGAAAGAATTCCACGTACACAGGCGGTACGATGCCGATCCATATTAACAAGAGGAAGTCATTTCCATCGCCATCATTTTCCAGCATTAGATCGTCGATTTCGATGGCTACTACTGCATCTCGTTTCAATTTGACGAAGATAGAGGATAAGGAAGGTAATATTGTTACTGTGTTGGAGGGTCAGTCGACTGCTCCGCAAACAATATTCAACTCTATTAATGTTTTAATTGGAGTGGGTCTCTTGGCGTTGCCCGTTGGTATCTTGAAGGCAGGGTGGGTTATTGGGGTTCCATTATTAGCTTGTTGTGGTTTGACTACATATTGGTCCGCTACTTTGTTATCCAAAGCCATGGATACTGACAAGACAATAATGACTTATGCAGATTTAGGTTATGCAGCATACGGTTCAATGGCAAAATTGTTTATTTCCTTAATTTTTTCCATGGACCTATTAGGAGCGGGGGTATCATTGATTGTATTATTCAGTGATTCGCTCTATGCATTGCTAGGCGATGAGGTAGTTTGGACTAAAACAAAATTCAAGTTGATCAGTTTCTTCGTATTAACTCCATTTACATTTCTACCGTTGCCTATATTATCCATCTTTTCATTATTCGGGATAATATCTACAATTTCAATTACATTATTGGTATTAGTGTGTGGGTTCTTGAAACCTGATTCTCCTGGTTCATTAATCTCTATTATGCCTACCAATATGTGGCCGCAGTCAATCCCGGATCTTTTGTTGGCAATAGGTATCCTTATGGCACCCTTTGGTGGCCATGCTATATTTCCTAATTTAAAATCTGACATGAGACACCCCCATAAATTCACTGGAACTTTATCGACAACATATTCAATTACATTGGTCACTGACTTATCTATGGGTATTTTAGGATTCTTGATGTTTGGAGCATATTGTAATAACGAAATTACAAATAATTTATTAGTCACTTCTGGCTACCCTGTCTGGTGTTACCCACTACTCAGTGGTTTAATATGCCTTATTCCATTAGCTAAAACTCCTTTGAATGCAAAGCCCATCATTTCAACTCTAGATATATTATTCAGTTTCGACAAATTCTCCGAGAACAATTTTAGAAGCTTTATTAACTCCTGCGGAAAGCTTGTTATTAGAATTGGCGTGAATGCTGTTTTCGTAGGGTTAGCAATACTTTTTCCTGAGTTTGACAGAGTAATTGGCATTTTAGGATCGTCAATTTGTTTTTTGGTTTGCATCATATTACCATGTTTGTTCTACTTGAAATTGTGCAACAATTCCATACAAGCTTTTGAAAAATACATCGTTTCTATTGTCATTTTCATATCCATTATCTTAGCATTTATTGGTACATGGGCAGTTTTGAACTTTTAAATCGCCCAATCATATTTAGACACTATATTACTCGATAATTAGTTTCAAACGTAATTATATAGTTACTTCCTCTCACTCTATATTTACAAGTCATTCATACAAATCTTTCGTGTCTATCGCTGTCTCTTGATAAGCTTGTATTAACTTCTATCGCAGAACATTGTAATTTCACGTGCGAGCTTTTCCTATCAAAAATTGTAGCATTGTATGAACTATCTATGAATCAAAACAACCTTGCTTATGGTCATAGGGAGGATTGTTGAATATATAAGATACATATGACATGCTTTGGTACACACAGAATCTTATATGCCTCTATTATTTTATAGTGTTAGTGGTATGTAGACCTTCAACTACATCAGAGTTTCCAACACCTACACCTTCAACAATAGTTGATATACTATCATCACAAGTGGAATATTCATATTTCTTAAGACATTTACAAAGGAATGGCATGATACCGATTCTCAACTCATTATCAAATGTTACTTTATTAGCTCCAGTAAATCTGGCATTTACCTCGGGATCAGATAAGGATGTGGACAGAGAGTTGCCTCATGATAATAATATGTTACTTAGATACGTCATAAACCAGAGGTTCCGGGTAGGGTATCTAGGTACCGAGAAAATTATTTATAATACATTATATGATGTAGAAGGATCACCGTATCCCGTTGTCATATCCCCTAACTTCGAGCAGGCGGAATACATTGTGGATGATACAGCTGCAATAGTTGAAGTTGATATTCATGCTAAACATCAAGATTCATTTATCCAGGGAATTGATTCGTTATTACCTTTGAAGCCCACGTTTTGTGAGGTTCTATTTTCGGATGACGATAACAGTTTGGGTCCACATCTGATTTCATTTATGAAGCAGTTGTTTCGCCAATTGTTTGAAGAACATGACACAATTACTGAGTCTGAGTACGATAATTATGTTAAAATTACAGGAAATGAAAGAAGTAGTTTAACTAAGTTACCTCTGTCGTGCAAAGAATTTATGTCCCGTACTAAAACTTTGTTAATGCTATCAGATGCATATATAGCTGAATCCTTACCTGACATAACTCGTCAGTATTTAACGTCTTTAGCTAAATCATCAAGTGGGAAGAAATATTCCATGACAAAGGAAGCTGTATTGGAAGTTAAAAATGATATTGTTAACTTTTTGGAAAGCTTAATGATAAATCATTTAATTGGAGGGGTGAACGGAACGTCAGGAGATTATCTGAGTATAAATGGTAGAAGTGAGTTCAATTTTTCTCTTAAAAAGTTTACCGGACAACTTCTATTGAATAATAAGATATCTAGTTCAACGAATGCTTCGAACTTGGCATTTTCTGATGCTATGTTACATGTTTTTGACATTCAAAACCAAACAAGCCATAGCTTTTTTGAGGATTTGAACGTTCCATTGGTAAAAATTCAACCTCGAAAGGCATTATATGCAATGCAGTACTCTAATTTTGTAAAGGAGGTAAATTTTAGATCTTTGCATCACTTGATAGATGGGTCTACAAGTAATCAAACTATTTTGATAGAATCTTCTCAGAGGGATCAAGTTGAAGATGATTTTTCTTCGTCGGATTATGATGGTTCACATTTCAGTTACAAGCAAATAATGTACTATCAATTCTCTAACCAAATGATTGATATTGAAAATGTCAGAGAAGCTTTAACGTATGAAAATTTCTATAAATTACTTGATTCTAAGTTATGTTCGAAGAGCAAGATAGGCTCATGTTTCAAAACAAAGTTTTCTGCTTCGTATAATATCGATTTAAAGAAAATTGAAGCAACAATTAATGATGATATAAATATCATGTTGCCAGGAATAAAAGCTGAGAACAATAATGTGATATACGTAACGAAGGAAGATATTAATCCCCCTTTGACATTAAAGCAGTCATTACTGAGATTATTATCAAATGGTGGTGTTAGTCGCCATTTAGAAAATTTTGAGATTGACAGGAGGAGCTTTTTGAGTACTCTTAGATATTTAGAGCAATTCGATTTATTGTCATTGGCGGAAAATAAGAAAGGATATTCCATATTTTTACCGTGTGGGTATGTCGAACAAGAGAAAAGTAAAGATTTGTTGAGTAAAAAACGGAAAATCAGCGAACCTTGGAAGTCAATGGGTCTAATCTTGAAATTTTTAGAATCAAACCCTAAATACTTTGAGGATTTACTTAAGGGATTATTCGTTGAAGATACCATATACTCTGATTTCGGCATTTACGACCATCTTAATCAAACAGTTTCTACTAACTTAAGAGGTGACAGTGTTAATATTGCACACTCTTATGTCGATGAAAACTATAACCACTTGATTTCCTTGAATAATACAGAATTATTAGTGCCATTAAATTCTGATATTTTATTTAACCAGGGTGTAATTCACATTATCAATGAAGTTTTACTTCCTGAATCATTCCGCATATCCTTCTCCGATTTAATAAAGACAACTGAGAATCCAAACTATCCAGGCTTTTCATTTTTAGACTTGATCGGTAATTATCCAAAACTTTGTGAAGTGTTGGGCATTTCAAATGAGAATATTAATCCGACATATTCCTTACTAATCCCAAGTGCAGATTCATTAAAGGATTTTAACATCACTTCAGAATTTACCAAACTATGGGATTTCCTTGAATTTCATTTGATACCTAATACAGAATTAAGTCCATTGATCTCGTGCGTTAATGGTTTGTTCCCAACAAATGACTCGCTAGACTCCATTAACTTTGAATACAATATTAAAACAAACCTATCAGATACTGTTTTAGGTTGTCGCAAAGATATCTTCTCAGACAAAACATTTTTAAGATTAAAACCCACCGATATCTCATCAAAAGATTCTACTTTTAATAGCATGTCGTACAATAAGGATCGCGAAGTTCATATATTATCCCACGGATGCACATCTATGCATAACAACTCCATATTGGATGGAGCTTGTGTCTTTCTAATTGACAAACCATTAAATTTGAAATGGCTTGAAGACCCCGATAAGAATACATTTTTACACATCCATATTGGATTTATTAGTGTTGGAGTAGGTATAATTTTAGGGCTATTATTATTTGGATCGGTTATATTTGGCGTTTTTGTTTTTATTAGTCGTTCTAGACCTGATCAACCACAGGCATCATTATCAGCGGCTCCAAATGATTCCATATTTGGAGATAATGAGCCGAACTACATGAGAATCCAAACTGGTGAAAATGATAATGTATACGATCAAGGGTACGAAACTGATGATGATTTTCTACGAGCAGAGGGCGATCACTTATTACCATTACATGGTAAGAGATCAAGACGGGCCAAGTACGGTTCCGTTAATAATAATGAAGTTACTGCAACGGCCCCCCTTTCTATTAAAGGTAATAATATCAGTAAAGCATTAAATAGAGAAAGAAATTTACCTGGGGGCTTCTAAGTTTCTTCAGAGAATAATATTATCATAATACATATTGCATATTACACCTTCTTGTAAATATGCGACATTTCATTTTTTTTTAATGTCGTATAGCGAAGAACTACTATAGTTCATGCCATAGGATAGTAGATCTAGAAATATTCTCTGTTATCAATTATCGATCTAATCACATTATATTATTTGTTGAAAAAAGCCTCAGTGAAAAAATTTTTAAGTTATGTCTGAAGAAGTGCCAATTCAAGAACAACAAAAGCCCCATGATTCAGTAGCGGAACCGAATGAAATGGAGACAACTTCACAGCAAGAAATAGGTGAACCTACCAATGATCAAGGAGCTCCTAGTAACGATGAATCAATTGCTGTGAAATCACGTATGGAAGAGATGGAAAAGGAAGCTGCTAAATTACGAGAGCTTCATTCTCAATTAAGCAATGACTCGAATAATGATCCTTCAGAAGAAGAAAGACGAGACATTGATTCTCGATCTGTGTATATTGGAAACGTGGATTATGGCTCAACGCCATTAGAATTACAGCAACATTTTTCGAGTAGCGGAGTTGTTAACAGAGTTACTATACCCTTGAATAAATTTACAGGACAACCTAAAGGGTTTGCATATTTAGAGTTTGCTGATATTGATGGTGTCAATAAAGCCGTAGCAACATTGGATGGTTCGACCTTCAGAGATCGTGAGTTAAAAGTTTGCGCAAAGAGAACGAATGTCCCAGGAATGAGTTCTACAAATAGAGGTGGTGGTTTTCCAAGAGGAAGTGGCTTTAGAGGTAGGGGAGGTTTTAGAGGTGGTTTTAGAGGAAGAGGGCCAAGAGGAGGAAGAGGGGGTTTTAGAGGTGGAAGCAGATTTACTCCATACTAATCATGTATAGGATGTACATGGATTAGGTATAGATAACGACCTAAAGTAATATGAAATACCTGTAATATACTCGAATAATTTATTATTATTTCCTCTAATTAGTTTACTGTACTATAATATATCATTTTAATTAGGATATTTCATTTGCCTCTCTGACATATTGGGCAATTTCTGGTTTGTTGTCATTTTTCAAACCATCGACAACCCCATCAATATCTTGCTTTTTCTTTTCCTGTTCAAACTTGAATTTGCACTCAATTCTAGTTATTTCAATTTCTAAGCCAGTAATAGCCTTTTGTTTTAATTTTACGTAATTTTCAGGTGCATCACTGACTTTCCAAGGGTCTGATCTCTTGATTTCTTGTTGATCTGTAAAATTATTGAGCTGAGTTCTGACCCAGTCAGAATCATCAATAACTCTCGGAATCCCATAGCAATGCATACTAGCGAAATCCCACGTAGGTACAAATTTATGGGTTTCATGTTTAGATGGATAATACGAGGGACTAATGTAAGAACTAGGAGATTGAAATATAACTAACACCTCATCTTCCTCTTTAAATGAGGGTATTTGATGATTTACTTTCGCTATATGACCTTGCAAATATTTCTTGTTGGTATCCTTATCAATATGCAAATAAAATGGTATATGATTGGCAATGATCCCATTTTCCCCTGAAGAAACAACAGTACCTAAGGGATTAGCTTTGATAAGGCTCTCTTGTTGTTCCCAATTTTCTTCAGCATAATACTTTGGAATATACATATTATGTTCTCTAATTATATTTTGACGGAAGAAGTCATCTTAGTCATATTTATAATGAGAAGTTCAGATATCAAATTACGAATTACTTAATACGGTAATTTGAAGCGATTACGATTAGATACGTATCGATTTTGATACTTTTCCGAGTCAGCGCAATTAGCATTAAGAACTACAGCTGCTCTTAACCCCTAATTGACTTGTATTCAAGAAGCCTTGCAATTGGTCCATGAAATTCAAACCTACTACTTACGAAATTTTAGAATATATTTGAGAATATATCAATCCTTGTTATTGCATATCCACAAATTAAATCCATATGCTACATTATGCCTTCCAACAATAAGTGAGGCGTCATCTCTAAATTTGAGGATATCATTGATGGGATAACCCATTCTTTCTGAATATTATTACAACCTCCACAGATATTGCAAGTGTGCGCGGTTCAACAGTGATAAGACTATATTTTGATTTTTCGTTCAGAATGATCTTCCTATACTTCAATTGAGCTACATCATGACAAGAACCGTATTTGTTTCAGGAGCTTCTGGATTTATCGCCCAGAACATCGTCAAGTTATTAATCGAGAAGAGTTATAATGTTATTGGAACAGTGAGAACTGCTGAGAAAGGTGAAAATTTGAAAAAGTGCTTAGCTAGTGAAAAATTCACCTATGAAATCGTTCAAGATATTAGTGTTGAAGGTGCATTCGATAAGGTTTTGGAGAAGCATTCTGAGATTAATGTTTTATTGCATACTGCCTCCCCTTTTTTTTACGACACAACAGACCCAGAAAATGACTTGGTTCTTCCAGCGATCAACGGTACCAAGAACATATTAAAGGCCGTAAAGCAATACGGAGCACAGATTGAAAGAGTTGTCATCACATCTTCAGATGCCGCAATCTACTCCGCAGATGATGAGCAGAATTCTGACCTTTCATTCAACGAAAGTAATTGGAACAGCATTTCTTATGAAGATGCCATTAAAGACCCGATCGCGGCCTATTATGGAGCAAAGACTTTTGCTGAAAAAGCAGCGTGGGATTTTGTTAAAGAAAACGATTCCAATTTCAAGTTGACAGCTGTCAATCCAGTCTATGTTTTTGGGCCACAGGCGTTTGCGAGTGAAGTTAAGGGCAAGTTAAATACGTCCAACGAGTTAATTAATACATTAATCAAGTTGAGTCCTTCTGATTCGTTTGATAATGATAAAGGGGGGTTTATTGATGTAAGAGATGTTGCAAAAGCTCATTTAATGGCATTTGAAAGTGAAGAAACCATTAACAAGAGACTTTATTTAACTAATGGCCATTTTAGCACCCAGATGATGTTAGACATCGTAAACAAGAATTTCCCAGAATTGAAGGGTGAAATTCCAATTGGAAATCCTGGAACAGGATCTCAGGATATCCTGACTTTAGCAAAGATGAGCAATGATGCAACTAGACAAATTTTAAATTTTGATTTTAATTCCTTAGAAAAGGTTGTTGTCGATACTGTTGCACAAATTTTAGATGCCAGAAAACGTACTCAATAGATTTAATAGACTATCTCTATAGGCGGTGCTGATGTTATCTGTAACTTTAATAGGCTCTTCTATAAGCTTACAATATCAAAGTTATTATAAATTATAAATTGTATAAATAATACCTATAGAGAATTATATTTAATACTATATTTCGAGAATAAGCATACAGAGAATTAAATAAATGTCTTTATCGCGAATTAATTAGACTGAAGTGGTTTCAATTTCAGTAACTTTTTCCATACCTTTTCCAATAGAGCTGATTGAATCTGGAGCATCTTCTCTGAAAGCATGGGCAGAAGGAATGAATCCACGAGATTTCCAAGCATGTGGAACTTTTTCATATAATTCATCAATTTGTTCCAAAGAGTAACCCTTGGTTTCGTAAATGAAGACGTAAGTGAACAAAATACAAAGGAAATTGCATCCACCCCAGATGAAGAAAACATTTGTTCCTAGGTTAGCGTTACCCTTACCATCTTCTACCATGTATGGAGTAGCGTATGCGATAGCCCAGTTCCAAAGCCAGTTGGAAGCGGCGGATAATGCAACGGACTTAGCTCTAGTTCTTAATGGGAAAATTTCACCAATAACAACCCAAGCAATTGGACCCCAGGTAGAAGCAAAGAATGCAATGAAGAAACAAGTGAATGCAATTAAGACTTTGTTGGCATCCGTACTATCAGTGGCAACACCAACAATAGCAACGATAAATTGAGAAACCGACATACCAACAGCACCCCACAACAACATAGAACGACGACCCACCAATTCAATTAAAAGAATACCTGGAATAGTCATACCTACGTTAACAATATTGGTGGCTAAAGAAATAAGAAATTCGTTTTCAATACCAGCACTCTGGAAGAAAGACGTACCAAAATAGAAGATAAAGTTAACACCTGTTAATTGTTGGAATGCCTGAAGGGCAACACCGGTAAATAATCTCTTCAATTGCTTATTCTTTGTGGTAAAAAGATCCGTCCAAGAAGATTTTCCGAAAGAACACTCGAAATCGTAAGCAGCTTTGATGTCTTCGTATTCTTCAATTAAGTCTGGGTGGTCAAGTGGTAATTTTCTTAAAATCTTCAACGATTTCTTAGCTTCAGATTCATTACCTTTGTGGATCCAGAAACGTGGTGTGTCCGGCAAGAAGATCATACCAGTACCCAAGATTAACGACCATAAAAGTTGGATAGCAATTGGAATTCTGTATGAACCTGAGTCAGTTCTATTATGAGTTCCTTGATTAACACAAGCTGCTAACAATAAACCAATAGTAATAGCCCATTGATAACAAGACACAACAGCCCCTCTAATCCATTTTGGAGTGGCCTCTGATTGATATAATGGAATGACAGCAGATATAAGACCAACACCAAAACCAGCAATAGCTCTTCCAGCACATAATAATGGAATACCAGTTGCAGCAGTTTGTAAAATCACTCCCAAGTTGAAGATAATGAAAGTTGAAATAATTAATGACCATCTTCTACCTAAGGTATCAGACACAAATGGTGCTAACAACGCACCGAAGAAAGTACCTGCTGATAAGATGGAAACGATCAAGGAACTTTCTTTGGACGTAAAACTCTCCTTATTGGCGGGAAATTCTCCCTTGACATAATCCATGGCCATGATACCTGAAATGGTTCCAGTATCATACCCGTACAAAACACCCCCGAAAGCTGCGAAAACACCTACGAAAATCCCCATGGATGCTGACCCAGCTCTTTTTTCCCCGACATTGACATACTTTCTAATAAGCGCGTTATCTTCTAAACCCATGTTATATTTTTTTGCTTTCTCAAGATATAGAATATCCTTCAACATTCA